CTGCGGCCGAGCCGCCGCCTCGTCAATAATTCAGCCGCTGCTCATGTTGCCCGTGTCTCTGTTCCTCTCTCCCCAGCTCCTCCGGCGCCAGCGTGGTAGCTATCGACAACAAAATCGAGCAGGCGATGGTATGTACCCAGCTATTGTTGGCGGGGAGGAGGGGTGTGCCGGGCAAAGGGGGCGGGTTGCCCCGTGCCCCTGGCTTGGGCACAGCGGGGGCTGCTTGTTCACCCATCACTGGGGCTGTGGGGGGAGATGCCGGGGCTTGGATGCTTGGGGTGACTGATGGGGGAAGACAAAAACAACCCTGGATGGGCACTGATCCCTGCCCTGAAGGGTGTGGGGGGAGCCGGGGGCACCATTGGAAGTGATGTCCACTAGGATTTAACCCCACATGCACATGCCCCCATCCCTTGCCAGCAGGAGCATCATGGAACACTTCCCTGCCAGGGGTGGATGTGCCCCATTAGGGGCCAGGGGCTGGCATTGTGCCAGAGGAGAGCCTGGGCTGTGCACATGGGGGGAAGCGGGGCGCCCCCCCACCCCAGCCTCACTCATTTTTGCCCGTTTCTTGCTTTCCGCCTCGGCCGCTCTTTGTTACTGGAGCCGTGCCTGGAGCTGTTCTCACGGGATTCTCTGCCTACTGTTGCTAGGCAAACTCAGAACCTTTAACTCCAAGCTATAAATAACTGGGCAGCTCATTGGCTGAGGCTCGACGGGGCGGTCGGCCCAGGTCTCTGTGACGTCACCCCTGGTCACGAAAGCTCGGAGGGAGGGAGGGGGGAATGCGGCAACCTGCACTGGAAGAACTAGCTGCAGCCGGTGCTGGGGTGGGGGAGGTGGCCTGGGCGGGGAGTACAGTATGGCAGGGGAGGGGACTTGTCCCGCACAATGCTGGGCCCCAAGCGGGCACCTTGCAGCCAGGAGACCTGCCTGGATCCTTCCTTGGAGCGGGCATAACCTTCCCAGCCCCTGGGTGCACATGCCCTTGTTATTGTACATCTCCTTGAAGGGAGAGACTTCCCCCCCGGAGGGATTTGGGGGTTCAAACTGGTCGCATCTAAAACAACACAAGGACCCCCCCCCTTCTTGAAGGAAGGGGTGTCTGCTAATGGTCAACGGCTGAAGTGGCAAAGGAGCTTGTAGAACAAAGCACGAGGCTGAGCCCCCTCCTTGCCTGCTCCCCATCTGGGGTACCCCAGTCCTGCAGGAACTAGTGCTGCAGGTTTGGATCTTCAAAGCATGTTATCAGAGGGACAGGAGCGTGCTCCAGCCTAGGCTTGGTCCCATGCCACTTGGCCTCGATTTGTGTCCTCTGCTTGTTTGTCTCTCCCTTCTCTGCCTGAGCTGGGTTGAATCCCTGCCCCCACGCTGGATCGCTGGCCCAATGTGTAAACTCTCTTTTTGTGTGTTTTCAGGATCTGGTGAAGAGTCACTTGATGTATGCTGTGAGGGAGGAAGTGGAGGTCCTCAAAGAGCAAATCAAAGAGCTGATTGAGAAGAACTCTCAGCTGGAGCAGGAAAACACTCTGCTAAAAACACTAGCAAGCCCCGAGCAGCTCGCCCAGTTCCAAGCACAGCTGCAGACTGGTTCCCCACCTTCTTCTTCCCAGCCACAAGGGACAACACAACCAACTGCCCAGCCAGCATCACAGGGCTCGGGGCCTTCAGCATAGTCTCTGATGTCCTGGCCCTTGTGGCCAGTGTGCTCTGGATTACCCAGAGAAAGGAGGACTAGCGGGAATCCGCCATAGCTACCCTCATCCATTTCAATGCACGCTGTGATTCACCCTTGAGGACTCTGCACTGCACACACCAACATGAGATAAGACTTTTTTTTTTCAGTATTAAGCACTCGTCTGTATGCCTGTCTCTTTGTTTTGTTTTGTTTTTGGCTTGAAGGAGTTTTTATTTTTAGGTTGGTTAATTAAAAAAAAAAGCTTCTTCCAGAGAATTAGCACAAATACACTGGGGACTTGAGCAGCTTCCACAAGTGACTAAGAAACAGAGCTGCATGCTTGATGGGGTTTTTTTTGTTTGTTTGTTTGTTTTAAATCTTCCACTCATCCAGTGCTATAACTGATGCAAGTGCTTTCAAGCATGAAAATGAGAAGACATAGACTGGAGTAGAAAAGATAGATTGATACTTTTATTCTCTCCCCCCTCCCCCGTGTCCTGTTGGGGATCCAAAATAAGGACTGATGCATAGGAGCTAAGTGGAACAGGGAGAAAAGTAAATTCAGTGTTCAACACGTAATTGTCATCTGAAACCTTAAGTGCAAATATGTTTGCACCATTTTCCAAAGTTGTGGACAGGTGCAAAAAGCAGGTAGGTGACAAACGGGGAGGGGATAACTACAATGAAGGTTATTTGCCTACTGTATATTTGTGTATTTAGTGTAATTACTTTGTAAAATAGAAAACTGTAACTACTACTTAGGTTGTACAGATTGAAATTTAGTTGTTTCATTGGCTGATCTGAAGCAGTTTGGATAGTCTCTCTTTTTTTTTTAAATGCTACATAAATAAGAATGCACCTACGCAACTGTTCAGAATTTGGCAGATTTATGCTGTTTGTGTAACTTCTGAATTTCCCTGGCTGCTGATTATCTTGAAGTAAATCTTTGTTCATTGTAGTTTGGTTTAAGACCAGAAGAAACACTCCAAAACTGATCAATTCCTGCTAGCTGAAGAAAAAAAAAACCTGACAAAAAAAGAAAAAAAATTGGATTTCCCAGTATGGATTTTTGCATATGATCTGTATAGTAGTATGCATACATTTTTGTGCATGTTCTCTAAACAGTTGTAACACGTCAATGTATTTAACTGTTGCACTTGTCAACTTTCAATAAAGCATATGATGTTGATAAATAACTGTTTGCATATTGTAATATTAGCCATTACAGTTCCTACCAACTTCAGCACAGCTTTTCAACCTGAGTTTAGATTAAGTTGTTTTGGGCAAAGGCTTCTTTCTTAAATCCTGTTTAGTTGGGGCTTGGGCTTTTAAAATACTACCAAGAGTTTTTAAAATGAAAATTAAAAGTAGGCATTGTTTTCAATGTGATTTACAAACAATAGGGGGGGAAATACAGTTGGTAGAAAAGTCAGGCCAGTGCTAAGAAATGTAAATGTTGCTTCTGTCAGAGCAAAGCCATTTGCTTTAGTTGAATCCTTTGAGATGCTGAACAGACCTTAAAAGTGCTAGGTGCCTTGACTCCCTTTACAGCAGTTCTTGTAACATTCTGGACCTACCTGCAGCCATTGAATAACAGTGATTCCTTAGCACCAGATTGCATCTTCTTGTGGAACTGAACATTCATGTGCTGGGCAGTAGCATCGTGAAGCTGTTAATTATGTGCGTAGAAGGCAGTAAGTCTTATTACTTCCTGAATACATTGCTCTTACCTGTACAAACAAGTTAAAAGCTTTTAAGTGATTAGAACATGGTGAAAAGTACATCTTTCAATGTTTCCCTTCCCACGCTCCTAATTTTTTGTGAAATGGGATCATACAAACCTGGTGCATGGTGTTTATTCAGCCTTGTTATATTGTTGTGAAATTTGACTAGCCTAGATGTAAAATCTACTTGTTCACTTTTCAATACCTTTTGTTGCTTGGTAAAAAAAATTCTCATCTTTTAAAATTCAAAATTAAATTGAAGAGTGTAAACTTAACAAATGTCAGGGTTAAAGACTAGAGATGTTAGGTGAAAAAGCATGGAATGAAGGGATGCAGAACTTGCTACTCCATAATCAGCATGCCATATGTTGATCATCGTTCTAACCAGTGAATACACCCTGTGTGTTTATCACTTCCAGCCAAGCTGCCCTAGATAAAATGATTAAACCTTTAAAGGCTGCTTAGTAATTTTGTATAGTTTGTTCACAGTTTTCTCTTTATATAGCTTAGATGTTATAAAATTGCAGTCCAATAATGAACGATGTCTGTAACAATAAGGATAAATTGGATAGTCCTTTTCTAGGATCTGTTGGATAGCCCTTATCTGGGGTTTGTTTTGATGATTAGTGTGCAAATAACTAGCATCCTCAACTAAAGTAAGACTAAGTGGCAATAATATTTCTTACACTAGGTGTAAGAAATATTAGACTTCAATGAGCTGTAGCATGGGAGAATGGAACAGTGGAAGTCTGAGGTCAGGAGTAACGTAGTCTTAGATGGTTTTAAATACAAGAATTAACCTACAAATTAGATCTTAATCGTGCAAAAATATGTAGGTACCAGCTTCATTTTACATATTATTAATAGCGCTGTGGCCTTCAGTGCATACAGTAAGTCATTGCAGGACTCTGAACTTAATTTGTGGTTCGATTTTGGGTCTCTGGTGTTTGGGTCTTTGGGTCTCTGGACATGTAATTTTTAAATAATCTGCAGGAAAAATATGACTAGAAAATATGAGCATGCTGGGGTTTTCTCTTTTTTGATAGACTAAGTTGAACAAAACAAAATATTAGAAATGGTTAATAACATTTGCAGTTGAACAGCATTTGAATTATCTGGATTTTGATAAAAAGAGCAGTGATTTTTTTTTTTTTTTTTTTTTTTTTTAAACATTACTGAATGGGTTGCAAGTGAATTTTTCCTCCCTCCCCCAGTGTTAGTGCCTATTTGAAAATTACCCAGCCAGACTGTTCTTTGTGTACCCGTGTATACTTGAAATAGACATATGTGATGTTGATATACTTGATTCTTGAATACGTGTCTCTTTTTTTTTTTTTTTTCCTTTTTGTTGTTGTCCAAAGCTAGGCATGCTGAGACCAAATTTGAACTTTGTTCACATTTTTCCCTGTGTCCTAAAACATGCTTCTCTCTCGTTACATAGGATATTATACTGTTGTTCACTTCATCGTGTCTAAAATCTGAAGGTTTTTGGTTAGGAAAACACTGAAATTGTTCATAGCATATCTGAACCTTAGAATTCATTGTGTGTTGGACTTGCTTGTTTGGCCAAAAGTTGTTTTGAAAACACATTATTCATCTAACTTTTGAGTCTTGTAATAGTTGTTAGAGCTGGTCAGAGCAACTTTGTTAGAACCGCATTCTATTAGAATATGTAGTTGTATCAAAATTGAAGTTCCTTATGACGCTGGGTTTATTTTGGTAATATTTCTGTTGGAAGAAAACTGGTGGGAATGTTGACAATGGCAATATGTTCCATTTTAATGCTTTTAGAATGAAATGTTTTGATTGTTTTTTTCATTTGGGGAATGACTTGATTTCAAAGGTTAAATTTTCTTTTACAATAAGTAAGTAAGTTGAATAGAACTGTTGGGTCTGAAGCACCCAAAATCATTTTTAGAATTTAAATTGAAACTTCTAATGCTTCATCCATATCCTTAATACAACCAATTTTCAAATTCTAGTTTTATGAAACAACTTAATCCTCTGCAGAGTTCTTAATTTTGAAATCTTTTATCCTTACCTAATGTTCAAATGTTTGTCATTTTATCTTCCCGATAGTACTTAATTGTATAGTTGCTTTATTTTAAATAAGAGCATATGAAACGAGCTGTGCATTGACAATTTATCAGTCACCTGAACAAATAATTACATATCATAAGCACCTTTTTCACTTTTTACTGCTACTGTTGGAGTTAATGCATAAAAGTACAGACAGGTTCATATGTTCTCTGGTTTCTATAGTTCGGTGCGTGAGCAATGTCTAGAGAAGTTCCTGTTGCATGGCATGGCTTTTAAAAATTATATTCATGTTGTTTTAATATCTTCCAGATGGTAAGTGAAAGAAATACAATTTGCTATATGAACTCTCATAATTCTGCACACAGTTGTGGAATAGCCTTAAAGCAGCAACCCGTGTATCAGCTGGAGAAGAAATAGTACAGTTGCAAATCCCTACTAAAAAAAATAATTGTCAAAATTATATATGGCAAAAATGGACATATTCAGATGTATACAGGAGGCACAAAATGTGCTTCATTGTTGCTGAGGGAAAGAGTCTACAAACTAGATGTGGACTTTGAGGATACCTCTATGTTTATAAAAATGCTGTTTACAAACCCTCTGGATGATGCTCTTGATTTTAAAAGTGTAAATGTGTCAGAGTTGTACTAGGTCTTTCATATAATGGGAAAGAAGCTAGAAGAATTTACTCAGAATTGCATGTTTTCTCATTATTGCTGAATGCATTCCGGTGGAATGGCTTAAAACAACTTGCAAATCTAAGGCCTTTGGAGAAGCTGGAAACTAACCCAGTCTCAGCCATTGGTGGTCCATGATTGGGGTAGGTACACTAATGCAAACCCTTAAGGTGTAGAAAAGTTCCAGTATATACAGAGGATGGAAAAGTTACTTCAGTTCGTCTATAATGCATCATACATAGGTGTATGGGGTTGGACTTGATGACCCTTGAAGCATCGTTGAATCCTGTGGTTCTTCATACTAGTAGATGGCATCTGAGAAGTGCTGCACGTTAGCCTGGCTTTTTGCCCATCAGAGTAAATGGGACTTCTCCCTATTGGCTTCAATACATGGAGAGTTAGGTGAGTACTGAGTTGCTTTGGAAAATCCAATTGTAGCATGTGTGCATCAGTTACTGGCCACAGATTGCTGAAATACATACAACCTATTTCCTACTAGAGGCAAGATTATATATATCAATAGTGAGGTTAAAAACAAGTGAAGCAAGCACATTTCCTTATAAATGCATAGAAAAAGGACAGTGGTTCAACAGCAAAAGTCCAAGTTGCGTGCATTCAGTGAAACAGGCAGTGCCAATCTTTGCATACCATTGCATTAAGACAGACTAGGAGAATTCCACTGCATCTTGTCTGAGCTTTGAACCAGAGAGGGGTGAATTCACTGAGGCTGCATCTACACAGGAAACCTACTGAGTCTGGTAGGAGCACAACTAAGAATACCACCCCAAGCTGTGCTGCACTGGCTGCCTCCTAATTGGGAGCAATATAACCGCATTCATGTGGCATTTTAGGTGGTTGATTAACACTGTTAAGTGGTAGGGAAAATTAGTTCCCCACCCCGGCACATTAACTAGTGCACTCAAAGATACCTTGGTTCTGATTTGAAGCAACCCAAGCAGAGTGGTGTAGCATACCGGAGGTCACCGCTGCCAGCTAAGGTAAGCTTACTTTGCAGACATGGCATGAAATGCCTCATCCATGCTGAAGGTTGGGCAGTGTTAAACTTTCCAAAATGGATCTTGACAGTGGTTTCAGTTATAGTTGAGCTGGCCATGGAGGAAAGGACGAAACAGATTTTTTAAATAGTTTGCTTAAGTCTTGAGGCTATTTGTCAAAGGGAACTTAATTTTCTTTTGCACACGCTATGCCTGCTGAGATGCCTGTTTTCCTGTCATAGTTTACAGTGACTCATTTATAGTAAACCATTCTGGCCATGGCGCAGGTTGTAGAACAGACTGGGGACAACAAATAGAGTAAGTTATAGCGTCCTTCTAGTTCTGATGGGTTGACTATTTCATTTATATATCATGATTTTATGAGTTGAATCTACACCATAAAAGCATCACTAGGCTGAGATGTGCTGCAGACAGTCGTAACACAAATACACCTGGGGGAAAAATATCCCAGTGAAAATTTACAGGGAGCAAGAGAATAACTGAGTAGCACAGATAAAGTTAGTTAGCACCTTTAAAACAAGGAGGAAAAGTGCTCACAGCCCTCAGTGGACTAACAGGCCTGTTAAAATTATTGAGCCTCAGGTAGGTCTATCAATCTTTAAATAGTGCCAGTGCTCTTCAGTACACCACATTTCATGACTTCATCATTCAGAATCTGGTCAGTGGCATTGAGCTCTCCCCCTGTGAATTTGATGTCTTCACAAACTCCTAGTTTTCACTTGTGGCGTGCTCCCTGTGG